TAATATCATTTTCAGATTCTTTGTTGCTAGTCTATAGAAATACAGTTGAGTTTTGAGTTCTTGCAACCTTGGTATACTCGCTTATTGTTCTTAATCTTATACTTGATTCTTTAGGATTTTCGTTATACAATGTCATGCTATCTGTAGAGAGAAATAACTTTAGTTCCTCCTTCCCAACCCAGATGTCTTTTAATTGCCCTGGCTAGCACCTCAGGGCAATGTTGGTTATAAGTCGGGATTGTGGTGACATTTTCTTGTTTCTCATCTAGGTCTGTCACTGTTAAATCTGATGCCAGCTGGGGTCTAGTGTGTGATGTGTGTGTGTGTGTGTGTGTGTGTGTAGGTGTATATATAATCTTTGTTAGGCTTCCTAGCCTGAAATCCTAGGGATTTTTTGTTTGTTTGTTTGTTTGTTTTGGTCTTTTTGAGACAGGGCCTCCCTGTAGCCCCAGCTGTCCTGGAACTCACTATGTAGACCAGGCTGGCCTTGAACTCACAGAGATCTGCCTGCCTCTGCCTCCCGAGTGCTGGGATTAAAGGCGTGTGCCACCACGCCTGGCCCAAATCCTAGCTTTTTAAAAAAGGACCAGACCAGAAAACTCCTAGAACTGATCAACACTTTCAGTATAGTGGCAGGTTATAAAACCAATCTACAAAAATCAGTAGCCTTTCTATATACTAATAACAAGCAATTGGAGAAAGAGTACAGGGAAATGCTCCCATGCACAATTGCTGCAAAAAAAAAAAAAAAAAAATCTTGGAATAAATCTGACCAAAGACACCAAAGATCTCTACAATGAAAAATTTAAATTGTTTAAGAGATTAAGGAAGACACCAGGAGATGGGAGGATCGCCCATGCTCATGGATTGGAAGAGTTAACATTGTGAAAATGACCATCCTACCAAAAGCAATATATACATTCAGTGCAATCCTAATTAAAATCCCCATGACATACTTCACAGAATCAGAAAAAAACACCCTTAAGGGGCTGGAGAGATGGCTCAGTGGTTAAGAACCCTGGTTGTTCTTGCAGAAGACCCGGGTTTGAATCCCAGCACCCACATGGCAGCTAACAACTGTCGGTAATCCGGTCCCAGGGGATCCGACAGCCTCTTCTGTCCTCCACGGGCATTGCATGACATGGGTGCACTTACCTACATACAGGCATAACACTCATACACATAACATAATAAATAAAATATTTTTTAAAAACAACAAAAAAAGACCCTTAAATATGTATGGAAGCACAAAAGACCCCGGATAGCCAAAGTAACCCTGAGCACAAAGAGTAATGCTAGGGGGATTACTATACCGGATCTCAGAGTATACTACAGAGCTATAGTCATAAAAACAGCGTGGTACTGGCACAAAAATAGGCACATAGATCAAGGGAACATCATTGAAGACCCAACCTGAGTACACGCAATTTCAGCCACCTGATATTTGACAAAGAACATACAATGGAGGAAAGACAGCATCTTCAACAAATGGTGCTGACAAAACTGGATTTCCACCTATAGAAGAATGAAACTAGATCCTTACCTTTCACCTTGCATGAACATCAACTCCAAATGGATCAAAGACCTCAATGTGAAAATGGAAACCCTGAAACTATTAGAAGAAACTTACAGGATGCAGTTGTAGGAAAGGATTTTCTAAATCAGACAGAAGTCTGGAAACAAATTCAAGAATCAACAAATGGGATCTTGTAAATCTAAAAAGCTTCTTACATCAAAAGAAGCAACCAAGGAAATGAAGAGAAAAACCCATGGAATAGGAGAGAATCATCACCAGCAACACATCTGACAGAGGTTAACATCCAGAATATATAAAGAACTCAAAAAACAAAGAATCGAAGAAACCAAATGAATCAATTAAAAGATGGGCTTGCTGGGTGTGGTGGCACACGCCTTTAATCTCAGCACTCGGGAGGCAGAGGCAGGCAGATCTCTGTGAGTTCAAGGCCAGACTGGTCTACATAGTGAGTTCCAGGACAGCTGGGGCTACAGGGAGACCCTGTCTCAAAAAGACCAAAAAAAAAAAAAAAAAAGACTAAAAATGACCCTACCATATGACCCGGTTATACCACTCCTTGGCATATACCCAAAGGACTCATCCTATTAAAGAGACACTTGTACAACCATGTTTGTTGCTGCTCTTTTCACAGTAGCTAAGAGATGGAAGCAACCTAAGTGCCCCTTGACTGACGAGTGGTTAAAATGTGGTATATTTACACAATGGAGTTCTACTCAGCAGCAAAGAAAGATGAAATAATGAAATTTGCAGGTAAATGAATGCATCTAGAAACTGTTATACTAAGTGAAGTAACACAGACTCAGAAAAATAAAAGATGAAAGAAAGATGAAATAATGAAATTTGCAGGTAAATGGAGGATGTAGAAACTGTTATACTAAGTGAAGTAACACAGACTCAGAAAAATAAAAGATGTTCTCCCTTATTTGTGGATCCTAGCACTAAATCCTTTTAAAATCCATGTCCTTTTACTAAGATGATGCTGTACAGCAATCTCTTCTGCATGAAATAACTATCATCATTATGACTTCAGCTGTGCCTGATTGCTAAACATCATCACAATTGGGCTTGTTGACAGTTGTGCTCTTTCATTAAAGGAGGGGCAAGCAGGACCCTCACCAGAGTATCCAGCCACTCTTTCCAGCCAACCGTATGTAATTTGGCCCTAATCACACATGGTCTCCTTGATTTGGGGAGAACTAAAGTATATAATCTGGGAAAGGTTAGGAAGAGAAAGCTTGACCCATGCTGGGTACAGGCTTTCCAGTGTGCATTCCTTCAGGTCATTCATACACCTCAGCAACCCCTCAGTTATCTCGAAGCCTTTGAGAAGGAACTGACACTGATTCTAACCACTCCAACAGCTATCAAAATGCCTGAAAGCAAATCCTGAATCCATCCCTCTCAAGTCCAGCCTTGGCAGACAAAAGGAAAATGAGGAGGTACCCAATAGAGGGATGCTTTTGGAAGTCCTCATGAAATTCCAATGGACTCTTATATGAGCATTTGAAAATTGCCCTGTTCTGACTATTTTTCTAGTTCCCCATCTAGAACTCATAATGCTAATTTCTCTTACCTTTATTTCTCCCTCACATCTCATAGTCACCAGTCAAGGACTTTCTTTCCCCCCACAGATAAGAGTTATGCAATTTGGAGCCAGGCAGGATGGCACATGCCTTTAATCCCAGCACTGGGGAGGCAGAGGCAGTCGGATCTCTGAGTTCAAAGCCAACCTAGTCTACATAGTGAGTTCCAGGCCAGCTGGGGCTACAGGGAGACCCTGAGTTATGCAATTTGGGAGTCTTTTAAATAGACCCACTGAAAGGGACCCCAATTTCCTCACCCTGAGTCCCTGTTCAGCATGGAAGAAGCCAGAGTGGTCTGCGTCTCGATTCCTATCCGCAATTTGGGTAACCTCTTCAGAGGATGGTGTGATAAGAATAGGAGGTAGGAATTGGCTAGGCAGTTAGGGTAAAAAGACCCCAAAGAAAAGTAGCCAGTTTCTTGGCTAAAAGTCACAATGTCCGTGGGCCTCTTAGCAACATACTCCCTTCCAAAGGCCAAAAATGTCTAAAGTATTTGGGAGCTTTTATCTAATCCTTAAAAGATTTTAGGGCTACCTCTTAAGAGGGGGAAATGTTAGAGTAGCAAAAAGTCCCATTTAAAAAAAGAAGAAGAAGAAAGAGTACATGAAGTTATCAGAAAAAAAAGTGATGGGGAGATATGGAAGGAGTTGGAGGAGAGGGAGTGGGCATGGATTTGTTCAAAACACCTTATATGCATGTATAAAATTCTCAATAAATTATATTTTTAAAAGTCCAAATACTTAGCCGGGCATGGTGGTGCACGCCTTTAATCCCAGCACTCGGGAGGCAGAGGCAGGTGGATCTCTGTGAGTTGAAGGCCAGCCTGGTCTACATAGTGAGTTCCAGGACAGCTGGAGCTACAGGGAGACCCTGCCTCAAAAAGACCCCCCCCAAAAAAGTCCAAATACTTAAAAGTAAAAAATAAAATAAAAAAGGACCAGAGGGCTGGAGAGATGGCTCAGTGGTTACTAGAGCACTGGCTGCTCTTGCAAAGAACCCAGGTTTGGTTCCTAGCACCCACATATCAGGTAACAACCATCTGTGACTCCAATTTCAGGGGATCTGATGCCCTCTCCTGACCTCCACAGGCACTACACAACCCAAGTGCACCTACATATGTACAGACAGTACACACATACACATAAAACAAAAAATATTTTTAAAACAGGACCAGGGGGCTGGAGAGATGGCTCAGAGGTTAAGGGCACTGACTACTCTTCCAGAGGACCCAGGTTTGGTTCCCAGCATCCACATGGCAGCTTAATAACCATCCATAACTCCAGTTCCAGGGGATCCAACATCCTCTTCTGGCCCCTACAGGCATAGCACAACACAGGTGCATTTACATACATGCAGGTAAAACACCTTCATACACATAAAATATATTTAAAAAAATTTTTTTAAAGGCCAGGCATGGTGGTGCATGCCTTTAATCCTAGCACTGGGGAGGCAGAGGCAGGTGGATCTCTGTGAGTTCAAGGCCAGCCTGGTCTACATAGTGAGTTCCAGGCCAGCTGGGGCTACAGGGAGACCCTGTCTCAAAAAGACAAAAAAATAAATAAATCAAGAAGGACCAACATGGCCTGGAATATTTCTATTCTTCTGCCTGAGCAGGGAAGGGCTGATGGAGAGCCCCCCCCATCCCATGTCAGAGGAATCTTCCTAAGGAGACACCCCCCCAAGGCTTGACTTCTGATCTTCATCCTGGTCCAATTAAGCAGCCCCACCCAGCCGAGTCCCAAGTGCCATTTGGTTATGGACTTGACATCTGAGCCCAGGCAGGGCTGATGGTTTCATGGGGCTATTTTTATGTCTAGCTTCTTGGATTGCACTCCACACCCCAGCAGCCCTGCTACTGGCCACCTGCCTGCCCCTTCTGGAATGCTGATTGACAGTTGACTCGGGTGGGGGCTGGGAATACTGTTATAAAGCTGAAAGAGCCAAGCAGACAGCTGTCATTGTTGGGAGCTCCTGTGTCCCCCTGCCACCATGGCCACCCACCGCCTCGTAATGGTTCGACATGGTGAGAGCTCATGGAACCAAGAGAACCGCTTCTGTGGCTGGTTTGATGCCGAGCTGAGTGAGAAGGGGGCCGAGGAGGCTAAGCGGGGGGCCAGTGCCATCAAGGATGCTAAGATGGAGTTTGACATCTGCTACACATCAGTACTGAAGCGGGCTATCCGAACCCTCTGGACCATCTTGGACGGAACGGACCAAATGTGGCTGCCTGTGGTGCGCACCTGGCGCCTCAATGAGCGGCACTATGGGGGCCTCACAGGCCTCAATAAGGCTGAGACGGCAGCTAAGCATGGTGAGGAGCAGGTAAAGATCTGGAGGCGCTCCTTTGACACCCCACCACCCCCAATGGATGAGAAACACCCCTACCATGTTTCCATCAGCAAGGTAGGCTGCTGAGAAGCTCTAAAGTTGGGAGCCAGGGTAGGGGGCTATCCAGGGAGAAAACTGTCTCTGTGTCCCTGTTCCCAGGATCGGCGATATGCAGGCCTGAAACCTGGGGAGCTGCCCACCTGTGAAAGTCTAAAGGACACCATTGCCCGGGCTCTGCCCTTCTGGAATGATGAGATTGCCCCCCAGATTAAGGCTGGCAAGCGAGTGCTCATTGCAGCCCATGGGAACAGCCTGCGGGGCATCGTCAAGCATCTAGAAGGTGAGACCCACCTCAAGATGTGGGACAGAAACCAGAGAGGGTAGCAACCCTGACTTGTCTCAGCAGTTCCACAAATGTGAGGGTTTCACAAGTGGTTTGAGCCAAAAGGGTTAGAAAATTTTGTGATTTCTGTTGTTCCATTTCTAGTATGAACTGGACCACAAAGGCAAAGGTTGCAGGTTTACTCTGCACAGTATCAGTTAAACTACCCCAATAGGAGCTGATTCTAGGTAGGATAGGCTTGAGGTCCCCAGCTAGGGAAAAGGGTGGGGCTTTGTACGCTTCTCCAAATGCAGTGGGACCCTGGGCAAAACTCTTGAGCAGCTGCAGAGCTCTTGGTACCTTAGTGCTGTCTGCATTTTTTTCTTGTTAGTCTCACTACGTAGTCCAGGCTGGCCTTGAATTTATGGTCCTCTTGCCTCAGGTGTATCCCACTGTGCTTACCCCATCTGCCTACACAAGGCTGTACCTCTGTGGGTCTCTCCCCGGCACTCCTCTAAGTAAAGTTGCCACAGGAGTAGAGCTACAAAGCTACTTGAAATCCTAGGCTTGCCAGGTATGGTGGTGCATGCCGTTAATCCCAGTACTGAGCAAGGCAGAGGCAGACAGATCTCACAGACCACCCTGGTCTACATAGGGAGTTCCAGGCCAGCTGGGGCCACAGAAGACATTGCCTCAAACACCTGTGCCCCACCCCTACCCCAAGATCCTAGGCTTGTAGTGGAGCTCCCACTGAAGAGTTAGGGCTGACAGGCACATGTGTGGAGAGGTCACAGATTATGGTCTCAACTGGGTTTTGGACACCAGAAGTCTAAATTAGTCTCTAGATGACCTTCAAGTTTGCTGGAGCCGTAAGGGAATGGGGGTAGACACCATAGCGCCAGCTCCTGAGGGTTAATGGGCTGATGTGTAGCATGGGGGTGATACTTCTGCCCCTCCCTCCTGGGACTTAAGTCTGCCGAAAAAAAGAGGTACATAGAGCACGCCTGATGTCCCAGGAAACATTCCTGTCCAGGAAACATTCCTCCTGTATGGTGGGGGTGAGATGATGGCCACTGCAAAGGTTGAGCTGCTATTCCAGGCAGAGGCTGCAGGAACTGACAGGATCAGGTTTCCATGTTCCTCCCCTGCTCAGAATTTAGAACCGCTAGAAACCAAATGACAGTTTTCCCACTCTGACCAGTTAGTCTGGCCAGTTCCCAATGGGCTGAGACTATGCACAGCAACACATGGGTCAGCTGCTATTGATGGGGGGAGAGCTTGCTGCTGGGCTATTTCTGTAGGTTGCTTCTAAGTCGGTTCTGCACTGACCTTTAGGCACATCTCTGTAGCCTTGCTCTAAGGGATGACCCCATTGGCAGCACCTGAGTTCTGTGGCCCACAAAGGCCATGCTAAATGGATAGCGTGAGGGGGGTGGCTAAAGATGCTGTACCTCTTCTTCAGGGATGTCAGACCAGGCCATCATGGATCTGAACTTGCCCACGGGAATCCCCATTGTGTATGAGCTGGACCAGGCGCTGAAGCCCACCAAGCCCATGAGGTTCCTGGGAGATGAAGAGACAGTACGGAAGGCCATGGAAGCTGTTGCTGCCCAGGGCAAGGCAAAGTGAGGGTGGGCATGGACAATAAAGGTAGCTTTGCACAATGGCAAATTTAACATGGCCAAGTACAGCAACATTTGTCTGCCCAGGTCACCTCAACTGTGGGCCTTCTAAGTCCAGGATTGCAGCCATGTCCAAGCCCACATCAGTGGAGGCATAAGCCCAGTGCTGATCCCTGGTTATCAGGGGCTTAATCAGGGTTATACACACCCTCTAGAGTATTAACAATCCCCTGTAGCAATCCTGGTGTGCTAGTCACTTCGTAACTAACCAGGCCATCACTTCAGGGTACATGAGAAAGAGCTACATGGAATAGCTTGCCCCATGAGAAACAGGAAGTAAACCCCAAGTCAAGGCAGTCACCTGACCAGCTTCCTTCAGGGGTAGCTTTCTGCTATCCCTATGACCTTAGATGGCATGCTGAGCCCTTCCTCCTGGGGAAGAACAAGCCTTTGGGGCTTCAAAGCCTGCCACAGCTCAAACTGATAGGGTGTTCAGGGCCTGCTGCCTTCACCAGAAAAGCCCAGGGAACAGGCAGGAAACAAGAAGGGCTAAGCTTGGCCACTGCCTTGGGTCAATGGCTTCCTCATGCAGTTCCACCCCAGGCCATCAGTGGGTAAGGCTGGAAGTCAAGCATTCCACCTGACACCTCCCAACAGAAGCCCTAATTCCTCAGAAGCCCAGAGCTGCACACATGACAGAAGCTCCTGGAGGGAGGAGCTATGTAGCAGTGGCCTCTCCCAGGGCTGAAATGCCCCAGTGTTCTATCAGTTACATCCTATCTTTCATCTCTCTTGTAGAAGGCTACACAGCCACAGAGGTCTGAGGGGCCATGTGAATACACACACATGTATACACCTCAGGCAAAGATGCAGACAAATCCCAAGAGGGGGCTTCTTCCATACAGAGCACTCTAGCCACAAATGGGGCAGATAAGCCATGGGCCCCACTGCAGCTCTTAAATGCTCCTAAGACACAAATGTGCTAGGACAGAAAATAGGAGGCAGTAAGCATAGGCCACTGTTCTTTTTGTGAAGCTAAAATCAGCTGAGGTACACACTGAAGCCAGACACCAAGTGAGCCACACAAAGCATATGTGTGTCTTTGATTTTTCACATATCCAGAGGTGGGAGCTTCACCACCCCATCCCTTCTTCCACAGCACAGACATAGGGATAGAACTGAGCAAGGCAGGGAAGCCTCTAGTAAGGCCACCTCCCTGCTGTCAAAAACATCAGTCTACTTTGACTTTGGTCATGATTTTGCTGAAAGCAATGGTTCATGGTTCTCAAGGATCATTCTGAACAGCTGCAGCCACCACCCCTTAGAAGGTGGAAAGAGAAAAAGGCAAATGTAGAAGGTGGCCTCCAGGTGCCTCTGCTCAGAGCCCCCCAGCTTACTGGTGCTGCTGTCCTTGGGCAGAGGTCACCCAGGGTTGGCCACAGGTGAAGCTTGGCTCAAGAGCCCATTCCTACTAGGGTCAAGTGAGAGGCTGGTAGAAGGGCCTGGAGGATACAGTAAGCGTTTTGGTGGGAGGTCAATGGGTTATTGCTGCCATCTGAGGTGACAGAGCCTAAGCCACCCAAATCAGAGGGAACCTTGTCATTGGAGTTCCTGGAAGAGTGCCAAACATGAACTCTTGGGCCTCCTCTTTTAGGACAAGGAAGCCACATTTGAGTGGGGAAGGAAAGACAGGCCTCAGCCTCACTCTATGAGCTCCACGTAGTTGGCAGGGAACATGCCAAAGTGGCCATCAGGCCCATAGCCACGCCACCAGCCTTCATCAATCACTTCGATGCCAGTAATCAGGTTTTCAGGGTCAAAGGAGATCTCCGTGTCATCAGCTGCAAGGCAGGCAAGCCAAGGTATATCAGATACTTTGCCACACCCTCATTGGCCCCTAGGCAGCCCGTCCTTCCTGCTTTAGAGCTCACAGCCCCTCTCTGCTTCCTCCTCAAAAACAGCCCACTGCCATCTACCTTGCAAAGCACCTAATGTGACTAACTGTAGTGACTACCTCCCAGGGTACACCTTCCAAAAAGAGCACTCATGCAATAGGTAGTTCTGCAAAGCTCTTGGCCTTTTCCCCGAGGCTACCCCTGAGGATGGGTGGGCTCCAGGTCTGGTGTACTTCTCTGATCTGGCAGGGATTCCTGCCAGTAGATGGTGGGCGGCTGGCTGGAGTATGTGTGGAGGCACATATTCTTCAGGGCAAGACGCTCCTGAGGGCTGTCCATCTCACTGTCATTTTCTCTTTCAAACTTCCTCTGGGACTAACCCCCATAAAGTCTCTATATACATTCTTGTCCCCTAACCTCAGGATTTGTGACCTATGACAGCCAGGTGGGACACCTTACCTGCCTGGTAGTCATACAAAGCCCGGGCACATAGCCCTTGCCCACTGAGCCCCTGGCCCTGCATGTAGTGGTCAACGTGCTCAGAGCCAGCACTCTGCTGCTGTACCTGTCAGAAGTGAAAGAAACAACATTACCACAGACAGCCCTCACCTGAGGCTTAGATCAAGCTGGAGACAGGCTTGGGCACAGCACATAGGAAGGCTTGCAGCTCTCTAGGGCCAGGGGCTATGGCTGCCTGAGATATCTGGCAGCACAGCTATCATCTCAAGGTATGGAAGCCAAAGGCAGTCAGCTCACAAATCCCTCTAGCCATGGACTACAAGGCACTAACTTCAATTACATGGGGTGCTGGCCCATACAACTTAAAGCACAGAGTGGTTCGAAATGTCAAATAAGAGATCACTCACTGGTAGACTGCTTGCCTAGAAGCTCAAGGCCTTGGGTCCTATCCCCCAACCTCAAAATAAGCAAACTCAAGGGCTGGAGAGATGGCTCAGCAGTTAAGAACACTGACTGTTCTTGCAGAAGACCCGGGTTCAAATCCTAGCGCCCACGTGGCAGCTAACAACTGTCCATAACTCCAGTTCCAGGGGATCTGACAGCCTCTTCTGTCCTCCATGGGCACTGCATGACACGGGTGCACTTACCAAGCAATACACACATATACATAAAATAAAAATAATAAATAAATAAAAATAAACACCCCCCCCCGCCCCAAAAAAATCTATGCTGAATGCCATGGTGGTAATCTCAGCACTCAGGAAGGCTGTATCAGGAGGCTCTCCAGTTCAAGGTGAGCATGGGCTATTCGGCAAGAACCTACCTTAAAGAAAAAGTAAACCCCCAAATCACCCCAATACCCTGAAGTGTGCCACAGAAGACTCAGGCCCATGTCTTAGGCCTTTGGCAGGAACCCACCAGTGGAGGTTCCTCATAGAGGGTGTCCTGCTCTGGAGGCTCTTCATATGTGGCTTCTTCTGCCTGTGCTGAGGACAGAGTGCTGGGCTCTGGCTCCTCATAGACGCCTGCAACAGAGGACAAAGCAGGTTCTGACTCTCTTCTTCCCACAATACCCGCCTTCCCCACCATTATACCCTTCCAAAGCTTCAAAGGGCTACAAGGGCCTTGCCTGTTCTAGGCCTTGAGGCGGCGGGAGTTGGCTCTCTGCCATAGGAGGCCTCTGGTTGAGTGAGCTGCTTCTGCAGGAAGGGGCTCCTCAGCTTGCCTGCAAATACACATATACCACTTCAGAACCACCACCTGCCTAGGCTAGCTAAAATAGAACCCTGGCCAGTATAGGTAAAGTCCCTTGGGCTTTATGCTGTGTGGTAAATCAGCAGGCAGCACAGTCCTGTGTCCTTCAGGGGTCAGAGTAGTGATCAACACTGCCACTGAGGTCAAGGACAAGAGGGGACCCCTGGACTCTAGATTGTCCTCCTCACTCATTTATCCCCCGTCACCCTTGGAGACCCTGCATAGAACTCCACACTTCCCCTTAGCCTACCCCTGCCTTGTGGCCAAGCCCAGAGGGAGGTCCCACCTGGCTGAGAGCCTGAGACAGAGGTGGTAGACATAGCTCTCTCCTTCTGCTTGAAAATCTCCCGTGGATGTGTGGCCTGATGACCAGCAGACTCCTGGGAGAGGAACAGAAGCACATACTGAAAGGGCCTCTGTGGTGTGTGTGTATGTGTGTGTGTGTGTGTATACATAGCCAAGGAGATGCGTGGCCTGATGACCAGACTGTGTCTTGTGTGTGTGTGTGTGTGTCCCATACTAAAAGCCCCTGTTCTGCCTTTGTTCCCCATTGGCACCTCTGAGATGCAGAGAAGCAGGTTCACTGAAGAGATCTGGGCTAAGTTCAATTCAAGATCAAGGATTTCAACACATGACCAAGATTGATCCAAACCATCAAGTTCCCAGGCCCTCTGAAAGGGGATGCCCAAGACTCACCCATTCCTGTTTGTTCCTTGAAACCACGTCTTGCTGTTGTTCACACATCCTGCTAGGAAGAGCCAAGGTTGAGGAGAGCTGAGGCTCATTTGCAGCCCCTTATACTGTGTCCTCAGTCTTCCTACCCCTTAGAACAGGTGAGCACATGGAAACAGCCCCAGTGTAAGGTGGGCTAACCTCAGAGGCCCTGACATGCTGTGCTGCTCCTGGTAGCGCTGCTCCCGGCGGGCAGCCTCCTGCAGCTCTCGCTCACGACGCTCCTCTTCCAGCCGCTGATGCTCCTCTTCAGCCCGTCTCTTCTCCTCCAGGCGACGGTTCTCCTCTTCTTTCTGCAGGGGGAGCTGCCCACTCAGCCCTGTGTTGCCCCCTTGGCCTCAACCCCTGCCAGGGACTGGATCCCTAAGGCTCATGGGCAAAGGGAGACACGACAGCCCATCATTACCCTGTGACTTAATTCATTTATGCATTCAATTTAACTAGCAGTAAAGGGGCAGGTAGAACATCTGTTAAGGCGAAGCAGGATGTCTGGCCATGTGCCCGCCCCCACTACTGCAGCACTTACCTCAGCTTTGGCCCAGAAACTATCTTTGCCAACTCTCTTGATTTCAGATATGGCATTGGTCTTCTGGTACACAGAGCCCTAGAGGGGACAGAGCACACGCTATAGGTTTAACCCCATGTAGAAGGTCAGACATATAGGTTGGCAGGGTAGAGGATTCACCAGGTTCTCAAGAGCAGGCAAGAGCTACTAGGTGGTAGCCTGGACTACCACCCTCAAGGAGACCCAGAAAGGAGCCTTGGAGCTGGGTTTAGCAGTATCTGCAATCTCAACATTCAAGAGGCTACCACCCTCAAGGAGACCCAGAAAGGAGCCTTGGAGCTGGGTTTAGCAGTAGGCAGGAGCTGAGGCAGGAGGACTGTTGAGTTCAAGGCCAGCCTGGGTTATAGAGCAAGGCCTCGTTTCAGAAAAACAAAACAAAACAAAACAAGGAGGGACAGTTCAGCAATTAAGAGTGCATATTAAGCCAGGTGTGGTGGTACATGCTTTTAATCCCAGCACTCAGGAGGCAGAGGCAGGTGGATCTCTGTGAGTTCAAGGCCAGCCTGGTCTACATAGTAAGTTCCAGGACAGCTGGGGCTACAGGGAGACCCTGTTTCAAAAAGATCAAAAAAAAAAAAAAAAAGGGCATATTGCTCTCCCAGATGACCTGCATTTAATTCCCAGCACTCATATCAGACAGCTCACAATTGCCTGTAATACCAATCCCAGGAATCTGATGCTCTCTGACCTCTGGAGGCACTTGTACACACACATATTTATGCAGTTTACCCATACATACAAATTACACACACACACACACACACACACACACACACACACACACACCAAAAAAACTCAAAAAGTCAAAGTCAAACTAGGAATCAAGGCAGTTCTAAGAGAGGCTTTCTGCCAGGCTGCTCTTCAGACAGCTGACTGCCACGGCAGCATCCAGAGAGGAATCACTATGGATTCCAACTGTATACCTAATGAGGTGATTTGCAGCTATGAGCTCCACATAATGCCAGAACCACATTCCTGTATGGTTTTAGGCTACACAATAAAGCCACCAGAAGTTCCCCATGGTGGCTACTACAAGGGACTGTCTAGGTCATGCTAACACTGTAGCCCTTGGGCTGCTAGACTACCATAGCTGCTTCCCTGAAGAGCTCCTACCATGAGCTGGCTTCAGAATAGCTAAACCAGTTGGGGTTGATGCCCACCAGGCTCAGGGTTACCATCTAAGGAAGCCAGGCAGGAGGAGCCTAGTTACCTAGACACTAGTAGCTACACTCTGGCCCCCACCCTCAGGCCTAGAGCAATGAGGTAATGGGCAGGCAGCACTCACCACTGGAGCCTGAGGCCCTGCATCCTGGAAGCGGCTGCTTTCCCTGTGGAAGCTGTAGTTGGCCCCAGAGGCCTTGGCAACCTTCTCCATGATACACTCAGGCTCCACGTCCTCCTCAGCTCGTGCATTGATGGTCACATGAGCGCCCTGCAGCAAAAACACTTAAAATATAAGCTTTTCAGGAGATGGGCCAAGCTTCTATCTGTCCATATAGCAAAGGCCACCACTGCACACAGGACTAGTGTCAGGAGACATTAAGCCCTGCCCTCTCTGACCTATGCTATATAGTTCCTACAACAGCTCAGCAGACGCCCAGGCAGCTTCCTTCTGATTATGAAAACTCAGGTGAAAAACCACCTGAAAACACATTTCCTTCCAAAATGAATCACCAATTTCTTCCTGAGCAGGTGACATGGTCTCATTCAGTTATTATAGAACTAATATACTTGGAAGCTGAGGATGTGGCTCAGTTGCATGTGAGAAGCCCCAGGTTTGATGCCAGCACTGCGAAAACAAAGTAACAAGCTTAGAAGCTTCTCTTTCACCTACCAGATGGAAAAATGGAGGCATATCTGCAGATATGTTGGCAGAATCAGAAATCAAGTCTCAAGCCTCCAAGCAACCAAGGAAATGCAGTCACTTGACATAAGAATTATAAATTACTTTTGATATAAATGCCTTTGAAATTGGACAAAGGTACAAAACTGCAGGACAAGTGAAACAAACACTTGGAGAAATAGGAAAGAATGCATCAAAGGGATACACACTGGGGTAGTGAGCCAAAGCAGCCTGTTCCTTCAAGTCTTAACCAGTTAAACTATTCAGACAGAACAATCATAAACTTAATAGAGAGCTGGGCCTGGTGGTACATGCCTTTAATCTCAGCACTCAAGAGGCAGAGGCAGGTGGACCTCTATGAGATCCAGGTCAGCCTGGTCTATATAGTGAGGTCTAGGCCAGCTGGGGCTACAGGGAGACCCTGTCTCAAAAAAAAAAAAACAAAAACAAAAAAACAAAACAAAAAACAAAAAACAAACAATAAATAAATATTAGAGAAATAAGCAAAACAGAATTCAGGGCTGACCCTTGCCCATCAGCTTAGGGCTGGTATGGTCCTCACCTGGCCCTGCTGAAGCCAGTCACAGGTAGCTCTGGCCATCCCTGCTGGCCAGAGGGAGCATGAGTCATGGCTGTGCTCCTGACTCCAGCTCCTATTCCAGTTCACTTGCACACAGGAATCTGGGGTGTTTGATCCTGCAAGGCCCCTTACAGGGAAGCAGGACTGGCTTAGCCCTCACCTTCAGGAAGTTGGCCATGGTGCTGACATGGTTGGCGCATGCTCCCTTCCGCACATCATTCACACCCTCGCCCGTCTGCAACACAAGTACAGCCAGCATGACCCAGGCCCCCTCCAAAGGCACTTCTTTGCCCATAAGTTCCCAGGAACCCAGGGGCTTCCCTATCTCCCCTAAAAGACATCCCCCACCCTCCCTTAGCCAAAGCAGATGCCATTCCCAACTGAGTCACATAGCCACATAGATGAGATCAATCCTCACACCTTTCAAGGAGCTCAGGGATGTTCTTTGGACAGGATAACTATTGATATCCAGTGTGGGGCATTTTCTGAGTATTCTTGGTCCCTAATTAGGGGGTTCTATTCTGCTGGAGCCCCTATCTCTAGACTCCTAAGGCTTCTGAACATCACGCCCTCTGCTCCACCAGCACTATTATGTCAAGGGGATGGGACCGAGCTTTTTTTGTGATGGTTTTTACTTCATTCTATAGGAATAATTCTCGGCTTGGAGAGCGAACTCCGTGTAAAGCAATTAATTCTGTCTGTTTCAGACAGGGTTTCAATATGTATCCCTGGCTTGGCCTGGAACTCACTATGTAGACCAGGCTAGTCTCAAACTCAAAGATCCGCCAGCCTCTGCCTTCCAGGTACGGAGATTAAAGGCGTGAGGCACTGTGCTCAGCCCATTTATTCTTTGGATCACAATGCATTAACTGCCTATTTATTCATTCACTAGCTTTTAACTGTTCTGTGGACCTACTGAGCTGTGTAGTACAACATTCTATTCCCAAGTCAAGTCAAAGCAGGCAAGGAGACAAAGGACTTTCCCCAGTCACACTACATGTGATGAGTCCACATACCCAGTTGATGAGGACAAACTTGGGCAGGCCGGAGTTGGGATCCTTCACCCTGCAGAAGGCATACATCACCTTCCCGCTGTTGAGCTCCTCCACCAGCTCCTCCAGGCCACCCTCTGCAGAGTCACAGGGAGGCTCAGAGGCAGCCTGTACCCCTCCCCATCCTGATGCCTGGTTCACCAGAAGGAGCCCAATCCACGTCTACATCAGGGCTTCTCACTCCACCTGCCTCAGAATCACTCTGGGAGTCACATTTAAAAATCCAAGAGATGAGAATGAAGATGCAGTCGGTGATACAGCGTTTGCCTAGCATGTATCAGGCCCTGTGATCAATCTCTAGCAGCACAAAATAACGAATAAATTATCAGTCTTGGGCCCCAACCCCACTAAGCTGATTTTAGTAGAGCTGGTGGGACCCTGAAAATTGCATTCTGACAAGCATGCGAGGTGACTTTTTTATCCACTTGAATTTAAAAACCACTCCTCTAAACCTGAAGGCACCCCTGGAAATGAAAAATAAATGGCATTTCCACTACGACCAATCACCAGACTTCCAGATGGATGGTCTCTATGAGAGTCTTACTATGGAAGGCCTGAGACAGTGGGGCTGCTAAGTTTCAACATGTAAGTCACAAACTACATTTCCATTGAGACTCTAGGGCAACCCAGAGTCAGACCTTTAGGAACATCCCACAGCTCAACAAGTAGCTCAGTTCTCAGAGTCTCAGATGGGGGTCAGGATGGGCTACCCTAAAACATTCTCCCTGGCATTGTGCCTCAACCTTTAAACCTTCCAGGTCATAAGGAGAAATTGATCAGGTATTTCAGCTACAGGGCTCCACAGAACCTGAGGCAGTTAATGTGCTGATGTGCAGCACAATCCTGCGCCATACCATTAGGCTCAGCAACAGAAAGCTGATTGCTAATATCTGCAACTCCTAGGCACCTACTATGTCATATGAGATGACCATTTGGAGGTAATACTAGAAAGAGGATGCATCAGCAATAGCTTATAGGGGAAAGGGACTTTCTATTGACAACAATGATCAAAACAACTCTCTTTCTGCCCGAGCAGAAATCACGGTCCAGGTACTCATTGGACAATGAAGTTATATCCTGCTTAGGGTTGGGAGTGGAGGGTGGTCAGGCAGGCCCTAAGAACAGGCATGCTGGCCTTGAGCATGGGGAGGGGTCAAGGGTTTCAGCTGAGGTTTGTGACTCATACCCCTTCACCTCTGGGTCAGCCCAAATGCCAGTCTTTCCCAGTGTTGGCCAAAAGCTGGTACTTTCTGCACAGATATACCCTCTCCCAATCAGGGTCCCCATTACCACCTGCAGTGACACTGCCTCTTCCCATTAAGGGTCAGATCTTCCAAGTAGTTGCTCAAGACCAGGGCAGGACAGAGTTAGAGAACATACTTGTGGGTTTTCTCCACCTGTACCAGCTTGGAAACTGGCATCCTCTATCTGCAGTGCCCGGGACAGGGGGTACCCCTGAGCTGGAGAGGGTGGCTCCTTTTCTTTACTTACTCAGTAATCTCAGACAGCAGTACTGGCCTGGCCCAGGCCAAGAATGCTGAGGAGGAATGTTTTCACTAACAAATACATGAAATCTGGAAGCTTTTTAGTTGGGCCCATGCTGACCATGGGATTGACATGGCTCTGGCCCCTGGTTCTTTCTGATGCTGGTTCATATCCAGATCAGGAGTATCCTTTAATGGAGCTGACCCAGGAAAAGGTTTGCAGGAGAAGAACTCAATTGAGGGAGGGGTGACTGGATAGTTGAGCCATATGTAAGGGATGGCTGTGTGAATGAGTTCCCTTCCTGCTGTTGGGACTGGCTGAAATGCCTGCCAGATGAGATGGGCCAGGAACAGTCACACCCTCTTCTTTGTGTACCTCACCCTCTTGGTGCTGGAAGTCTGTTAAGGGTCATACTCACCCCCTGTGCCAGCCACACGGATGTCATTGCTGTTGCCTTCATAAGTAAAAAGAGCCCTGAAATGAAACAAGCAGGCTGAGTGGCCAGCACCCAGGGGTCCATGTGCCTACACTACACCTACAGGCTCCACTCTGCCCTGTTCTGACTTGCTAGGCAAGTGTTCAACTGGCCACCCTGAGGCTGACTAGCCCCTGGGGGCTTGCTGTGAGGGACAACACCATGGAGTTCAGTGTTCTTTCTACACATTCATATATGAAATATTCATCTGACTTTCAGGCATATAAATTTGAAAAGACAAAAGATATCTACATATTCCTGAATCCAGACCATCTAAAAGAGAAGCAGGAAGGAGACGGATGCACTGGGCACTCCTGGGTATATCTGCCCTGCCTTCTGTAGCCTGAGAGTGGGGCAGGTCTTCCTGGGCTTGAGATTTTCCTGGCAAATATGGACTTTAACAGGTATAAATAGGATCAGAAACCAGACAATGACACAGCATTAAGTCATAGTTAAGACCACTGACCCACCAAGTGTCTTCTGGACGGGTGCCTATAGGCATGCTTTCTATCTAGCGGAGCCATAACTCTCATGGCTAATACCAGTCTGGGTACGTAAAACTACTCATGAGATTCTGGTGAAGACTGTGGCTTATAAGCTTGCTCTCTAGAGGGAGTAAGGAATAGTCTGTTATCTGGGCTATGGAAAGTCACTTGACCACAACAAAGGTTATCGAAGGAGAACAATCTGGAAGAGGTAGTGTCCCAAGAGAGCCGCTGGGCATGAGGTGAGCATACTGAACCATGCGACAGCAAGTTAAACAGGAAACCTGGCTCAGTGCCTGCTGTCTCCCCAGCATGAGAGGCAGGGCAGATGGAAGCTCCAGAAGTAAGCTCCAAGAGGCAGGCAATGCTATTGAGCAGATACATGTGCCTGGAAGAGACACAGAATCAGACACAGACCTGGCAGGCCTGACTAGCAGGAAGGAGACAGCCACTAGGAAGGAGATGCTGCCTACTGGAACAGAGACGAGAAAACCTCAAAGACTCCAGAGAAACAAGGATAAGATTTGGGAGGTGGATTTGTTAGATATTCAGCCTACGTTGGTAGAGCTCTCTGGAAGAAACACGCCAATTCTTCTTGATGGTAACAAGCCCTGGCTGTCAGGGCAGGGGGACTGGAACAAGCAGCAGAGAGAAGGGATCTGGCAGCTAATAAGGCTGAACTTGGCACATGGGACCTAGTCTTCCAACCTCACCTCACTTTCTTCTGTGTTCTAAACCACCTTGAAGAATGTTTCCAGTTCAAGCCAGTCATGGTGGTACATGCTTGGTAATCCCAGCACCCAGGAGATGGAGGTTGGAGTGGAGGCAGAGACAGAGGCAGAAAGATCGATCACAAGTTCAAGGCCAGTGTAGATGACATCGTGAGGCCCTCTCAAAAAACAACCAGGGCTAGCAAGATGGTTGTTGGCAAAATGCTTGCGGTGCAAAGCATGAGAACCTGGGTTCCATTCCAGAACCCATGTGAAAGCTAGGCACGGTAGCATGTGCTTGCAACCCAGCGCTGGGAAGGCAGACAGGATTCCTGGAGCTTGCTGGCCAGCCAGTCTAGCCAAATTGACTAGTTCTGCATTCAGTGAGAGACCCTGTATCCCCCCCGCCCCCCAAAAAAGAAGATGGCTTAGCACTTAAGAGCACTTGCTGCTCTTACAGAAGACCCTTGTTCAGTTCTTAGCACTCACATGGTGACTAACAGCCATCTGTGCCTCTAGTTCCAGGGGACCCAATGCCCTCTCTGGCTTCTGCAGGAACCAGGCACACATGTAGTACACATACATACATGCAGGCAAACACTCATACACATAAAAATAAAATAAATATTAGAAAAAATACTATGGTAGAGAGTGAAGAAGACAGTCATATTGACCTCTGGCCTCCACATGCACTTGCACCTATATACACCTGCATACAACACACACCACCAAAAAACAGTTTCCAGTTCAGAGGCTTATTCCCACCTTAACACAGCTCCACCCTTCTTTCAAATCAACACGAAAAAAATGGTGCACTGGCTTCTATACAGCAAGAAAAGTGAAGAATATCAAGTATCTTATCATTCAATCACTCTTTCCAAATATGTCCAAATATGTGCACTGAGAATATGTTTCCTGGTGACTGGACTGCAGCTACAAATAATCCATGAAAGACCCGACCCATGGAACTTACCCTCTAGCAGAAGAGGAAAAAAACATACACCTGGTATTAATGGACTGTCAGGAAGTGAAAGACACAAATCATGTCAGCTTCTCTTGGGAGGGAGTTGAAGACAGATTGCAGATGGAGAATTGAAGCTGTGGCTCTGGTGTCAAGGCTTAGTGCAACAGCACCTCCTCTGTGTGTAACCTTTTATGACCTACCAAACTGGAGACCATCTATTGTTTTTCCTACATGGATGTCCTTTTAGGACATCCATCACACACATAACAACTGTCTACCAGGCACTAAGGACAGAGGCAGGCTCACTTCACCCCTTCCAGTGAGGAGATAAGGTTAACAAAAAGAAAAAAACATGAGAGTTTCCAGCATGTGTCTGATAAATATCTCAAGGAAGTGAAACTGAGGGAGAGGCAAAGGTGACTGCAGGCAAGGAGCTAGGAATGCTGGAAAGCAACCTCAGAGCAGAGACACGAAGGATAAGGCCACCAAGATGATGTAGAAGTGTGATTCAGGCAGAACAGTAAGATAGAAAGCAGATGAGGAACTAGCCTGCAGTTTTGAGAAGAGGAAGGCTTTGGTAGAAGAGTGGTCAACAGGTGTGGCTAGTGTGGTAAGCAGGCGGGGCAACAGGAACAAGGTCAGGCAGGGGCAGGAGTTTAGACTTTATTCAAAGTGCAACAGGAAGCCACTGCAGGTATGGACAGAGACTCGAGATGGCTTGGTTATTTTCTCAGTTAGCGAGTGGGGACCTGCCACACAATCTTGTTGGGTAACTACTGAAATGGCTATGACAGTAAGGGTGGAGGTGAAGTTCGTACAACTTGAGTGGCACAGCTTGCAGTGCTGCAGGAACTTGGGGCAGATGATTCCGCAGTAGCATGGCTGCCTGGGCAAGGGAGGATGGTATGAGGAAGAAAGCTCTGAGTCTTCAGGCAGGACTGAGTGGATGGGGCAGGTCAAATGCCAGACCAAGGTGGGAACATGATTCTGGTAAGCGGTTCAATGGAAAACTAGAAGCATGGGAGACCTGCACTGTTAGGTTGGCTGTGGAGAACCAACAATAATGGTTCACAAGAAGGCTAAGAGACCATGGGAATACAGTGGAGATTTAAAAAAAAAAAAAAAAAAAGCACTAGAAAAGGAGAGACGGTTGATCACAGGGGCAGAGCCTTCCCCTATGCAACAGAAGTCTCCATGGAAGATCCAACATAAGGGCAGACTCATATGATGCACCTTGGTGCTGACCACAGGGTAATGGTGGTCCTACCATGACTCCATCTCCACGGTCCAGGGTTGTTCACCTTAACCCAACATACTCAACATATTTCTCAGAAATATGGAAGTGCTAAAAACTGGCCAATGGAAGCAATTTAAGCAAATGGAAAAGTGAAAGACAATTACTCTATATGGGTATGCATACTGCAGAGAGCTGAAGGGGGAAGGGCTAACCAGAAGCTTCAGATCCAGGCTCCCAGGATTATAAAGCTCTAGTAAACTACACGATGAAAGCTACACAGAGCCTAGCTGTGGACGGATGTCCTGAGGTGGTGGAGGGAAGATAGGACCTTTTCTCAAACAGAGGGCCAGTATCCTGTTTTCAGTCCTTTCCCTGTGACTCAGGAACTTGGTCACTGGACCCAGATCACTTGAAGGCTTGTCTAAGCCTTCAAGCAAGCTCATGATCTCAATCTCACTGTAACGCTGCTTTCAAAGGCCAATCCTGAATTCAGAGCTTGGAAGACCTGAGCGTAGCTTCGGCTTTTAGGAAAGTGGTGAGCTGTGGAGGACCCCTTTGTTCAGGGAAATCCCAGAGATGGAAAGTGCCTGGCGAAGTCAGCAAGCAGGACGAGGCAGAGAGACCTGCAAGGGGCTCTCAGGGCAGAGCCTGGGAGCAACAACTAAGCGACAGGGGGAAGGAACCGGTCCTTCCGTCCAGACAGCACTTCGCCGAGGTGTGGGGTGTGGGGGCAGATGAGCCCCGCAGCATCGCCGCCACACCGCCCCCACCCTCCCCGCTCCTAGCCCGCGCCCCGTCAGCTCGCTGCCCACCAGTCGGTCGGGGACTTCTCGGTGACCACGCGCACGTAGGCCTCCTGTAGCGCCGGCCCGTTCCGGCTCAGGTTAACCGCCATGGCACGCCCCAGAGTCCAGAGATGCAGGAGCCTCAGCTCTCCGCCAGCCTCCCCTGACGGCCGGAAGCCTCGCCTCCGACTTACGGAAGTCTTGCCCAGGAGGCCGGAAGCGGAAGTAGAAGTGGGTTGTGAGCCTGCCGGGTGCTCGGGTTCTGTGGCTGCTGTTGATTTGAAGGGGTGGAGCCCGTGTCCGCCTCCGCCGGGGTCTCCTAGAGCGTAGCCTAGCGGGGTCTCCAGCCCTGGAACAGTCGCTGCTCCAGGATCCCTGCTAGTCCTGATGGTCCGATTCTTGCTCCAGTTAATGCACTGTTTAGAAAGCCGATTTTTCTCTCCTCCAGACGTGTATCCCTAAATCTGTGTGTGCACGCTCATCAAAAATTTAATCTACGGTGTCGAGCGTGGTTTTGCGCACCTGTAATCCCAGCAATCAGAAGGCAGAGGCAGAATCCTGAGTTCTGGGCCAGCCTGGCCAGCCACTAGAGTGTCTTAGAAAAAAAATTTAGTGTTTTTAAAAAAAAAAAAAAAAAAAAAAGATTTGGCGCAAGTGGATAGTGTAGGAATGAAGAGACCCTCTTTGTACTTCACTTCTACTTCAAAAATAGTTGCTCCACCTCCAACCTGGGCTGGCAGAATGGCTCAGCAGGTAAAGCATTTGCCAAGCGAGCCTTACTACCTGGGTTTGATCCGGGAAACTCACATAAAGGTGAAAAGAGACAACTGATTCAACAGCGTTGTCCTCTGACCCCTACATTGGGCTGAAGCATATTCTCTCTCTCATGTCTTTCTCTCTCTCTCTGACACACAAATAAGTAAAATTTTAAAAATGAGAGATAGTTACCCCTCCTGGAAGAAAGGACTTCATCTTGCCTCAACTTTCCAATGTAAGAAACACTAGGATTTTTTTTCTTTGAAACTCTATAAAACTTGAAACTTGGTTTATAACAAGGAATTCTGATCTTTCAATCACACCACATCCTGTAAGACTTTTTAAAAAAAAAATACTTGATTATTTTTTTAAATGTGTACGTGTGTATTGCCTGCATGTAGGTAATTGCACCCGTGTCGTGCAATGCCCGTGGAGGACAGAAGAGGCTGTCGGATCCCCTGGAAATGGAGTTACGGACAGCTGTTAGCTGCCATGTGGGTACTGGGATTCAAACCCAGTCTTCTGTAAGAACAGTCAGTGTTCTTAACCGCTGAGCCATCTCTCCAGCCCCAAGACTTTTATTTAAGGAAAGGTCTGGATGCATTCCTAAGCCTCATTACCTGGAATAGTAGAGCTCTTCTCCCTTCCATGATTCCTTAAAACTAACCAACCAGGAAAGATTGAAGTCGAGCCCCAGTCAATGGGGAAAAGACACAGTTCTCTTTCATTAAGGATAAAAGCCCCACCTCCCAGCTTCTGGGTCCTGTGCGCACTTGCTGGATCTGATTGACCATAAAAGACATTCTTTTGCAAAAGTCAACACTACCTTGCCAAGTTATTTTTGCTTTGTTCTTTGTGCATTATTGAGGGGGTCCTTTGACCTCAGTTTCTATTTTTTTATTTTAATTTTTATTTTACGTAAGTGTATTGCCTGCATGCATGTATGTGAGTGCACCCGCGTCGTGCAATGCCGCAGAGGTCAAAGAGGGCTTTGGATTCCCCTAGAACTGGAGTTATGGATGGGTCATAGCTGCCATGTGGGTGCTGGGAATTGAACCCTGGTCCTCTGCAAGAGCAGCCAGTGCTCTTAACCACGGAGCCATCTCTTCAGCCCCATCGGATTCTATTTCTAACAAGGAATACCCGTACATTTTTTAAAAAGATGGTTTCACTATGTAGCCCTCCCTGGCCTGCTCTGCAAATCGATTGGTAGACCAGGGTGGCCTTGAACTCACAGAGATCTGCCTGCCTCTGCCTCCCAAGTATTGGGGTTAAAGGTGTGTGTCATTTTGCCCTGCAATCACCAGTTCTTTGAAATGTGTCAGTACCAACCGAACTTACAACATGAAGGGGAAACAAGCCAAGATTATAGATAACTCGCAGGTCCCTTCCCTGCCATAGTGACTTTACCACCTCCTTTGCCACCTGTACCCGGTCTTTGGTCCTTGATTCCTCAAGAGGTTTGAAAGCACTTTTCAACATTTCTCTTTTTTTAAATTTTAAAATATTTTATTATTTTTATTTTATGTGTATGAGTGTATTGCCTGCATGTAAGAGAGTGCACCTGTGTCGTGCAATGCCGCAGAGGTCAGAAGAGGGCTTCAGATTCCTCCAGAACTGGAGTTAAGGATGGTTCACAGCTGCCATGTGCATGCTGGGAATTGAACCCGGGTCCTCTGCAAGAGCAGTCAGTGCTCTAAACCACTGAGCCATCTCTCCAGCCCCTACTTTTCAACATTTCAATCCAAGGAGGCCACTTACCTGAAATTTGGTTGTACGGGCCAGGGGTTGGGGGTGGGGGTTGTCTCTATATTCTAATGTTGGATCAGGGCTGGGGATGTGGCTCAGTTGGTAGAGTGCTCATTTAATATGCACAAAGTACTGAGTTTGAGTCCCACCACCAAATAAAACTAGACATGGTGACACATGCATGTAATCCCAACACTCAGGAGATAAGAGACAAGAAGATCAGAAGTTCAAGATCATCCCCCACTACATAAAATTTGAGGCCAGCCTGAGTTACATGAGACTCTGTCTTAAAATAAATAAAATAGGATCAGCTCTGCTTGGATGATCAAGTGCGTCCATGGTGATGGAGGCAGGAAAAATGCTTTGTATGAAGAAGGGCTGTTACCATATCTAAAGTTTATGCTGCCACTTTACAAACCCTGGGAGACATTAGTGGAAGAAAATATCTTTTTGAGACAGGGTCTCCCTGTAGCCCCAGCTTCCTGGAACTTGCTATGTAGACCAGGCTGGCCTTGAACTCACAGAGATCGCCTGCCTCTGCCTCCCGAGTGCTGGGATTAAAGGTGTGCGCCACTACACCTGGTGCAGGAAGAAAATATCTTTATTCAAGATCTGACCTGAGAAAAACCAAGGCAACCTTATTGTCTTAACTCTCCATCTTTGGGGACCCAGATGTGTGAAGGGTTTTTATGGGACAGTGAGATAATGGGCAGGAAGTGTACATGCTTGGTCAAGTCTTTCTAGAACACACTCAGAAAACCCTCTGAACCTCCACCTGGTGTCAGCATCTACATTTTCTTTTCAGATGCCCTACTTTTTCTCTGACTCAATTCATGTAAGCTGAGAAGGCACTACAGAGACCTCTCTTTAAATTTAGAACGCCAAGTAAAACTGATAGGTCAGATGATTAGGAAAAGATAAGAAAAAAAGATTAAAGATTAGAAGGCTAGAAATGAATTAATGGTTAAAAGCATTTGCTGTTCTTGCAATGGACATGGGATCAGTTCCCAACACCCACATGTCCGCTCATAACCACTGGTAACTCCAGTTCCTGGGACTCTGATGCCCTTTTCTGGATTCCATGGGCACTGCATGTATGTGCTGCACATACTAACACTTATACACATAAAATAAAAATAAATCTTAAAAAAAAAAGATTAAAGGAGGCTATAGAGATGACTCAGAGGTTGAGGGCACTGGCTGCTCTGCAGAGGACCTGGGTTTGGATCCAAGCACTCACATGGTAGCTAAACAACCATCCATAACTCCAGTTCCAGGGGATCTGACACCCTCTTCCTTCTGATCTCCATGGACATTGCACGACATGGTTGCACTTACATGCATGCAGGCAACACACTCAAACAGATAAAATAAAGATAATAAAATATTTTTTTAATCCATAAAAAAATAAGTCTATGACTCCAAAGAAATATGGTTTTTTCTGGATCCAGTTAAAAGTTTCCCCAAGCCAGCCTTCTGCTGGAGAGATATAGTACAAAAAGTAAGAGTCTTGGGACTGGAGAGATGGCTCAGTGATTAACAGCACTGACTAATTTTGCAGAGGACCTGGGTTTGATTCCCAGCACCCACATGACAGATAACCATCTGTAACTCCAGCTCTAGGGAATCCAACACCCTCTGCTGACCTCTGCAGGCATCGCACGACACTGGTACACTTATACACATGCACGCAATACACTCACATAAAATAATAAAATATTTAATATAAACCATTTCTCTAAGTTGCTTTTAGTTAAGAGTACTTCACCACAGCAGCAGAAACAAAACTAGAAGAGTGGATTTTGAAGGCTCTGCCTTTGGAGGGTTGCTAAGAACCTAAGTGAGATCTTTGGCTATTTCCTGAGGGGGATTACAATTGGGAAGGTAAAAGTCTAATTCACAAGGATGCAGGAAGGTAGAATACCTACAGTGTAGTCTTGTTTGAATCTAGGGTGATGTTTGGGAAAGGAATTAGACTATAACCAAGGTCATATACATTCAGGCCTTAAGCCTAAGTATTGCTACTTTAACACAATGTATGAAAGGAATACCAACACTTCGTCAGCAGCTATCAGAACAAACATTGTTCTGGAATCTTTGCTTCTCAGCTGGCAAGAGGCTTTACTTAGATTCTGGAATGAGGTGCTCCTTCGCTCTCACATCTCCCAAACATCCCTTTCTTTAAAACAAAGAAGCAGGTCTCTGAAGGACATGCTGCTCAGGATGGACTTGGTGCTCCTACCCACATGGCTTCAGGCTGCTGTCTTTGGGGTTTTCGGAGCCACATCCTACACTTTTCAGAGAACCAGCATTCATGGCTAGATCCAGGTCCAGCCCAGCTCTTTCTTAGCACGACAAGATAGAAAGTATGTGCTAGTCAGAAACAGCATCCATAGAAGGGGAGGAGAGACAAATGACTCCATGCTGATCTTGGGACTCCTCTTGTTCCTTTGAGTATGAGGGACCGACTCCAGGAATTCTGCAGAGGCCTATAAGTACCTTCTCTGACAGTGAGGAGCTTTCTTCTGAGTTTGAGCCATCTGGCCGTCCTTGAACAACTGCAAGTGGCAGGAATTCTACAGTTGCTCTCTTGAGATAATGGGGGTGGACATTTGGGACATTTGCATTCTGGGATTTCAATCATTTTTCATGTTCTTGGAACTTGAATTATATGTATATGTTTGTGTCTGTGTGTGGG